TGAAAACACATATATTAGATTTTTAAATACGACAACCCTATGCTTGCGAGTTCAAAGGGCAAGTCAGAGCACATTCGGAAACTGAGTGTGAAAACGCTAACCTCTATGAAAAAAATGCATCGACAGTCTTTCCAGAGCCAACCACGCTGGAGGTCAACGCATTGATTTGTTTCGATGCTCCTTGAGTATTCTAATACTGTTGATAAATTTGGCATCCGACATCAAAGTTTGCCTGCAGCTATTTCAAATCGGGGCAAGAGTGAATGTTAGTCAAGGGAAAAATGGGCACTGTGCCTTTCATGAATCAAAAGAATTGATTGATCTCAGATCCCAAATATCCAGTCCATGCATGGAAATGTGCTCTGAACACTTTGTTGAAGATAAACTTCAACACTTGAAGACTTCAGAAAATGTCATACTGTACAAACTGTAGTCTGCATTGGCTTCCCCATTTTCAAAATTTACATTTTAGTTCAGCACACTTAAAAGACTTTTATATCTTAAGTTGGACTCCACCATGCTAACTGCTATCTAGCCTTGATGCTAATTTTAGGCAAAGTCACTGTTGTTTTAGCAAAAGGAAGCTAAGCTGTCAACGATTTGGGTCATTAAGTGAAACGGTTGTGGTTTTATTTCGGCTTATCACCAGTACGTGGCAGCTCTGATTTTTTCTTTCTACAAAAATACAACACCAATCATTTGGTTTCTATTGAAGAAATGAACATTTTACAATACATTACATGTTTATTTTCATAACGCTTTCACAACAGCTACAGCTGTAACAAAGTGTGTTACCGAACATTGAACACAACATAACCATAATGCAACAGAACACATACCATAAAACATTGAGGATAATACAATCTTAAAATGCACAACAGCGACAGTTTGATCTGTGTGACATTAGTTATAGCTTTGGCTCCAGGAGAGACAAATGCTGCCGCAAGTTGTGTTAGCACCAGGCGAGTTTGTTTTAATGTACCGCAAAAAACATATCACTAGACTCAGCGTCCGCTAGCTAACTGCTCTTTATTTGTTCCCATAGTCACTAGTGGCTGAAATGCAAAGAAATTACACTTCCTATCCTTTCCCATGCCTGGCAAAATAATGTTTTTTGTCCCTAAATAAGAAGCAAATCTGACCTAGGATGTGGATTGAATATTTCACGGGAAAGCAGTAGTTTCCAATCAGTAGTTTTGGCTCGTGTACCCCAGAACCTTTTTGTCATATAATGCATACGGTTTGATGATTCTCCCAGAACAAACCCTAACACAAGTGATTATTAAATTAAAATTGTTGTACTTTGTTGTGTGTGTGTGTGTGTATATAAATATATATATATAAAAGACTCTCAATAAAGAACAATAATAAGATCAGGAGG